GTGACGCGGCTGCTCCCCGTCGAGACATCACACCACGGACATATACAGGAGCACTCGGACGTTCGGCACTTATCTTTGTTCCAGCACCATGGCCGACGTCTCCTCCCGCGCGGTCCTCCGGCTATGTCTCCCGGCGTCGTCGCTCCGCCTCTATTGGCAATGTGTTACGGGGCGGAGTCTTCCTTTGGCAGATATCGTCGTACGTTCTTTCGACGTTTAGGCTCTGGTCGTGATGGCTCGTCGACGCTGCTATAAGTGCACATAGTGGGGCTATGCGCGGCGAACGCGATGGTCCAGCGGTTGGCGGGCACTCGGGATTGGAGGGGGATCTATTGTTTTCTTGCAGCCTCCTCTTCGCTCTTCTTCCCACGCTCACCGTCCACTGGCCACCCCATTGGTTGTCCCCCTCAGTAATAGGTGTCCTGGACGCCGCGCCTTCCTGCCGCCGCTCCTCCAATCCCCGCTCAGGCTCCGGTGTCGATGGCCCTGGTTGGATGAACGGGGATGTATTGAAGTCGCCTATTGGTGGTGTTGTGACCGCCACGCATGGTGACGTTCTTTCCTCCCCGATGGTCGGGAGGATGTTCCTTTGGGGGAGGCAAGTTGGAGGTGTCGTTTGCCTCCCCACGCCACCTGTGAAGCCCGTGGATGTGATTGGGCTTCCACAAGTGGTCGTCGTCACCGTGCACGTGGTGAGTGTCGTCGGTAGCGACGTCGCCGGCGAGAGAGATATTAATATCTCGCCTGGGCTCCCCGCTGGGCTGCCTCTGGTTGTCGGAGGCAGGCTGGGGAGCATCGCAGGGGGCGTCCTCCATTGGTCCATGATGTTGATTGGGCCCCCTGCGATTGGCGACGTCAGGTTGCCTGTCGCTCTGGACGATGGCCGGTCCGGAGCTAGCAGGCGTGCATCCACTGCACTCTTCTCAACGGGAGCGCTGGTCGACCGTCTCGATCTCGTGACCACCCTCTCATTGGATGTCGTCTTGGGGGGTGGTCCGGTCGCCTTCGTTCTCTTTAGCTTTAGTCTCCCCACGCCGTTGGGTTGAAATTGCGTGCCCTCCTCGTCAGATGATAATAGTGAGATATTACTCTCTATATGACGAGGAGGGTGTGGGGAGACGCGCTCCCGCCTTGCCGTGTCTTCGCTTTTCTCAGCCGGCACGCTAGTTGCCCGCCTGGTCCTGGTTGAAATTGGTGGCTCCTTATTGGCGGGCAACTTCTTCACTGCTCCCTCTCCACATTTCTCCTTTGCCACTGGTGGACGTGGACCCCCCGCCTCCAGTGATGTTCTCTGCGGGGGGTGAGAGGGAGCGCGTACCGGCTTGGCCGCGTTCTGCACACCTGCTTTGGGGATGGACTTGACAGGCAATCTAACAACTTCTACCGACGTCACACGTGGTCTACTCACCGTGGCGGTCGTCGGCGACTTCCTCGTTGCGGCGGCCTCGCCGGATCTCCTGGCTGCTGTTGTGATTGGCGCGGCGCTCTTCGCGACAGTCCTACTGCGGGCTGTGGTGGAGGATGTGGTGCTCCTTGTCGATGGGCCCGCTGTGACTGCCGCGTATGAGGGAGAATTATTCATCGGTGTTGTGGATGTCCTCTGATTGGCCCTCGATGTTGTTGGCGAAGGGGTGGCAGTGGACGGCAGCGTGAGTTGCCGCGAACCCGATGTCGCGGCCTGGCGCCTATCCGGACCTCCAACCGTCTCCGCCAGTCGCGTGGTCGCTCTAGCCACACCACTAAACGATGATTGGGCCCCACTATTGCACTCGCCGAGGCTACCGCGAGTGCTTGGACATGCCGTATCTTCCGCGGGAGACACATGGCATTTGATAAAGTGGGCCTTCACTTGTCTATACGTATGGTATTTTCCTTTTGGTATATAGTTGCATTTGGAGCATTTATAAATTATTGTGTCTCCCGGGTGGAACTTTTTAAGATGTTTTGATAGATACGACGGGTCGCTGTATTCGCTCCTTACTTTCCCCACCCCCTCATCACCGAAACACTTAGCGCATTTGAGACATCTTACTTTAGGAGGGGGCGGGTATTCGAAACAGTGTACTTGTGGATCCGCCATAACGAGTGTGCGACGAGCTTAGTTGTTGTTAATTTAAAGGGGCCTTTAGATTACCTGGCCCCTCGACCAAAAACAGAAGCCCGTGATTGGCCGGCTCGTGTCGACCAATCAGAGACTGGCTAAAAATTAAAAATTTTAAGCACACTCGCCATAGCGAATCCACTGAGCGAATACAGCATAGATTTGGAAAAAATCGATTTAAATGATTAAAAGCACCCGCGGCTCTAAACTCACTAGATATTGCACTTTGAATTTATTACACGTGGCTGTCTGTCTTTCGGAACGAGGTCCGTCGGGAGCGGTTTTGCGAACGGTTACTAACAGGTAGTTTTAATAACTCACTCCCGATCGCGATGACTTTACGAATTGTACGGATGTTCGGACTTGGAAAAATTTTACGATCGCGTAGACAGCCACGTGTCCGCACTTAACCTCACTCACGGCGCGCATAAGCTAATTACGGCAATCGCCTCTCAACAAAAAACGCGAACACTCACACTCGATAAACAACCGGACCAGCGTGTATCACAGAACCGACAGATATATATACATGCCTAATTAAAGCTAATATCACAACTCAATACTAATATAACATAAAAGCATGTAACAGAGTAGTTGCGGGAAAATTACCTCCACTCCTTCTATTTTTTCTGATTTCTGTGGTATAAATCCCAGCGCGATGTATTTTCCGGAGTTACCCTATTAAAAATTGCCGAATATTGTGGTATTAAATAATTTTTTACTCAATTACTATCAACTTTGCAGAAAAACTGCAAGAGACAAAAATCATTAATTTTCTTTTCGTAGAACTCTAAGAATTTTTTCAGAATTTTTTATCCACTTTTTGGTATTGCATTTTCTTATTTTTACTAACATGAGAAAATATAGTATTAAAAAATTCTGAAAAAATTCTCAGAACTTTATGAGAAGAAAATAAACAATTTCTCCTGTCGCTGTTTTTCTATAAAGTTAATAGTATTTGAATAAAAAATTATTGAAAACCAATAATATAATCAGCGATTTTTAGTAATTAATATCTCGTTAACCATTGCGAAATTTGCAAAATGATAGAGGACTTTCAGATTCAGTTTAGTTTGCTCTATTTATATGAAAGTAATTGACAAAAACTTACGGGACACTCTGTATAATTAAGAAGTTGCAAAATTAAATAATAGAATGTATATAATTGTGAAATGTATATAATAATGAATCTATATACAATTTATAATATATACAACACTTTACATATACAAAAACACATTCGTGAAAACTAAATTTTACAATTTTACTACATAATTTTCAATGCTATGAATATTTTATTCAATACTTACATAGTGCAATCTGAATAAGTTTACGCCATATTATATTTCAAGAGTTTCTTTGTAATTTACTCCATAATACTTTTATTGACCATGATGCGTACTGCAGTAAAGTAAGAACAGGATGTGTATAAATACTGTAATTAGAAACGTTTTAAATTATTTTCATGTACATATGTATATAATCAGTACAAAATTACTGTTAAAAAGATAAATGAGCGCTAAAAGTACACGAACCTAAAAGAAAAGTTTTGTATCAAATTAAAGAATAATACTCGAAGTGGTATTATTTTAAACAATATATTTATATTTTTAGACCGTATATGTGAGAAACACAATCAATACAAGAAATTTAAATGCCTATTACGGTCGGAGCTGGATCTTCGTTGCTTTTTAAAATAATTCAATCTTGAATTACTAATATACAGGGTGTCCGAAAAGTGTGGAAACGGTCGAATATCTCGAGAAATACACATCAGATCAAAAATCTGAAAATATACGTATTCAATGTTTTCAAAAAAGCTATCTTTTGATATCTAACATGACCCCCCACCCCCACCCGCTGTGGATGAAAGAGAGGGTAAGTTTAAAATTTTAAATGGGAACCCCCATTTTTTATTGCAGATTTCGCTTCTTCAGAAAAAGTTA